GTGATTGGGATTGACATGTATACACTGCTGTGTATAAAACTGATGACTAATAAGAACCTGCTGTATAAAAAAATAAATAAAATGAAAGCATTAAAGAAAAAAAAAAGTGGGTGTCCTACCGGGTGTGCTAGTGAGGTGGGAGGTGAAGCTGGTCCCGAGAACCTCTTGAGGGCAAGGGCTGTGTCCTCTTCATCTTTGTTTCCTCATGGCCTACACAGGCCTAGCACATGATTGTTACTAAATATGTGCTGAATGACAGTTGTGAACTGCTTCTTTGAAGTCACTTGGAATTCTTAATATTCACCTTCTACTGCAGCCCAGCATGACATTACAGGTCCTAGACTGAGGTAGGAGCAGCGACAGGATGAGGAGGAACAGACGGTTGAGACAACAAAAAACAGTTAACTGGCTAGGCAACACATCATTAAGTACCCAAGAAACTACAGACAGTGGCACTCACACACATGCTGAGGGATATAACTACGACCACACATATGCCCAGAAACCAAGCCAACACGGAGAGTCCATTTCACAGAAGAGCACTGTGTTTTCCAGAACCTACCCATCCAGAGGACCTTCCTGCAAATAATTGTCACCTGTGAGTAGAATGTTAAACTCTGCCCTTCTGCAGAGTGCCTTTCTAGTGAAGATGGGGGTGGGGTTGGGGGTGGATTCCTGAAACTGGCTAAGGACAACTATCTTAATTGTTCCCAAACTTCTATTTCAAGAACTTAAGTTTGGGAGCCAATTTAGAAAGTGCTTTCTTTCAGTAAGGGGCACACAAACTCAAAAATCTCATTGCCTACGTCAGAGCCGAATCCCATCTAATCCATTTCAATGGGAGTTCAACCTCTTCCAGGGTGGCAGGGCCAGGGCACCAGATTCATGGAACTAGGCTGATTAACTTATTTAAATCCTGGTGATTCCCCAAACCACTCCAAGCCCAAAATAAAGTTGTGGTTATGGGATCCTCATACTACAGTTGTTTCGACTCTGCTCCCCTCCAAAGCACCAAGGGATCAATCCATATTTCTCATTACCACAGCGTGGGTAAGGTCACGCTAGAGGGACATCCAGAGGCCTCGAGACCATACACTTGCTCTGACAGGGCTCTGGAGCCCGAGAGCCACTGGGAAGTGTATACCGCCAGCACAGTCTTTGCAGGATGCTTATGGCCAGGTTGAAAGCTGAAAGCTGATTTTTGATTAGCAATAAATCCTGGCTAAATTAAACAGACCAAAGTAGTCTATAAAATGTTCCCATCTGGAGTGCCATAAATGAATTATATGTGTGCTGAGGTATTTCTCTCTAGAGTTTGGGCGAGTCTGGCTGGTCACTTCTGGCGACAAGCAACCTCAACAGGTTAACCCCGTGTACCTCAGTTCATCCCAGAGTCACAGAGATTTTTTTTTTTTTTAATGTGTTATGAGGTAAAAAGGATAGGTCTATAGCAGTACCCTGTTTAAAGATAATCTTTATTTCTAAGAACTTTTGTATACAAATTAAAAGTTTAAGACCCTAATACATAACATAGCAGTGTTTTTTAAAAAATCATTATCCCTTTGAGAATCTGATAATGCCAAAGCCCTTCTCCCCAGAATGCACCTCTACTCATTCATGCAATATTTTGCATACAACTTTAGAGGATTACAGAATCCAGATTGAGGGTCTGTTCTGGAAGGATTATTAGACAAACCCAAATTTACTAATTTTAGAGGGGTTCATCTGCTTCTTTTCCCTACCCTTTCTCTAGTACAGCTTCAAAAGACCAGAGAATTGTCAAAGAAATCTCTGAAGCAAAGTATTACACTGAACTCCCTTGAAATTTCCCGAGGAGCATGCAGAAACCACTGTCAACTCCAAGAGGCATTCCAGACAAACTCCTAGCTGCTCAGGGAGGTTATGTTAATCATTGGCTCCAAGCATCATCCACCCTTGCAGTACCAACACTGGCTGTCGGGAACCACTTACAGGTACAAAGCAGATCTCTGCACACCTCCCTCTGGCTTTGGATGCATTTTTAGTTAGTGTTTATACCAGAAACCCCATGTAACCACCTTGCAGTCTCCGCTCACCACTGCAAGCACATGACCTTGTTCGTGTGTATTAACCACTCACAGTTGCCACTAATCAAGGCAAAGATTGTACAAATGGGGGATGGGGAAAAAGGGACATTTACATTAATTAATTTTAGCAGCATCTTTATTGCAACAAAGAACCTGTAATAAAATGCAACAAAACTAATGTTTCACTTTACATGATTAAAAGCCATGTAGCTGAAAATGAGAAAACTCATAAACTTACTGGAGTGAGACATGCAGTTCTTTTTATATAAGTCAATGCTTAAAACAGCAGGCACTTTTATGTTCTAAAATTAAAGACCTGAACTCCAACTGTGCTGAATACAACATAAATTTGTATTTGGGTTATGTAAAAACAAACATACTTTTTCTCTCTCTGAGGGACTTCTCAAATGATTACCTAGAACTGTCTCTTGATGAAATAAGAAAAGCAAGAGCCAGCACCTTGCACTAACATGTCTCCATATTTCAGGCTGCAAGATGGATTAGGTGAGGCTGGGTGGGGTTGGGAAGGTGGGAGTCAGGAAAGTTTCCTTATTCCCTTATGTCTGCTGGGAATGGACACTCACCTTACATATCTTAGTTTAGATATGGCCATGTCTCATTGCTTAAACAGCTATAATTTGGGCTCCCAGGCTTAAGCAAGCACTCTATACCCCAATCCCCAAACTCCCCACTACACCAAGGAAGACACATTTAGTGTTAACAATTTTAATTAACTTCAGAATGTCGTATACTAATTAGAAGTACTGCTTCATTAATAAGCATGCTTAGCATTTACTTTAGAATGGAAAAATTAACCATTTTACGTTATCTTTAAAATGTTTCATAGGAATATATTAATAAATACTTCTTTAAAAATTTGCCTTTTCTACATATCATTTAACTACCATGAGTTAGGATATCTGGATGGAGTCTAGCACCAACCAAACACTAACTGGCTGCGTGACCATGGGTATATTTTCTCCTCTCTCTATATGGAGGTTCCTCCTCTAAATAATGAGAACACCAGATTATACCAAAGTTATAACAGCTTGAAAATTTTACAATTCTGTAATAATGAGAGATCTCATAGGAATCATTCCACCTAAAGAGAGAACAATGTTACAGAGAGATGGGATACACCTTCTGTAAGAAGTAAAACAAGTAAAGTAAGCATCAATACCTATATCTCATTCTTCTGAAAAATAACGCATGCATTGTGACTTCATCCTCTTGTATGAGGCTTTGGAAACAAGCCAGGAATGGCATAGACAGAAAAACCTTCATTCCAAAATTAATCTCCAGACCAAGGGGATATACAGTTAATGATACCTTCTGCTTTTTAAAGAGTGAAAAAAGGGCCAACAGTCATCACAGATGAGTAGCTATCTTGACTATTGTTTTAGGTTCTTGTAAATCAGTCCAGTGTAGAAATCACCTATTATTTTCTTAATCCAACTCATTCTCTGCAGAAGAGTTTCTTAAAGTAGCCCACGAATGACTTGCTTTAGAGTCACCTGGGAAGCTTGTTAGAAATTCAGATTCCTGGTCTCCACTTAAATCAATGAAATCCAAATTTCTAAGAGTGAGGTTCAAGGTTGCATTTCTTTTCATAAGCATCCCAGATGAATCTTAGATTTTGAGTCCCACTGCTCAACAACGCAGAAGCAACCATAACTACTGATGGTTGTTCAAGTGCACCCAATTATCAAACCTGCAAAAACCCCCTTTGATGTTTAAGCTAGTGCTTTTTGGTTCTCACTAAAAATGTTGCTATACTCTTGCCTTTAATTTGTTACCCAAACACAGGGTACAAATAGTTTTAGTGAGATTTCTACTGATTGCTTGACTATGATGTTTTCCACATTGATTTTAAAATCAAATTCAGTTGAGCTGTCTTTCTGTAAGCGAATTCAGTCAGGTATTTTTCCCCCTATGGAAGGAGAATGGCATTTAACTGACTGGGAATAATAACAGAAGCATTCCTTGTGATGGGAGGAAAGCAGAAGGCAAGATGCACAAGGAAAACACCTGTGAATTCAAGAGTCCATGAGGTTCTTTAAGGTTTGTTTTGGTAAATTATGAGATGCCATTTTGAAGAAACAGCCTTATTGGGTAAGAGGTTTCAAATGATTAGCTGTATAAAAGCCACTGTATACCATTTCTACTTTGCATATTATATAAGGTTAGATGGTCAGATGCCACTAGTCCCCAGACAAAAACCATCTTCAGTAATCAGATACATACTTAAGTCATGGGGGAAAATACTTTCTTGGGGAAGAAAAGTTACCCAAATCAATTTAATTTAACACTGAAAAAAATATAAACAAATATTGGCATGGGAAAATATCATAACAAGAAAATCAATACATATACAGACACAGGGAAAAGTGTGGTACCTATTATACAGTATAAATACAAAAACAGCAAAACCCAATCCCCCTCCACAGACAGCACCACCAGGTCACCCTGCCATCTCTGGACCTCCCCCACCTCCCATGCGGCCCTTAGTGATGAAGTCCACATCTCACGCACAGTCACCATCCTTACTAATGGAGGCTGTGCTCTCTAGGGCAGGAATCTACTCTCTCTGTAGTGGTGAGAAAGAAGAGAGTAATTTTTTTTTGGAGTGTTGTTTAGAAGTACTTTCCAAACACTGAGGCTTGTCAAACTCATAGGTGCCTTCTCTGCCACTGGCTCCAATGTGACCCATCTAACACCCTAAGATTCTAAGATGGCCCAATCGGCACTACGAGCGCCCTTAATAGTCAAATGCTAGAGCTAAACCAGAAAAATGTCATGGTCATTCAAGAAATCACTTATAAGCTTTGAACATTGCAAAAGAGAGCCATGCCTTGCTGGGGATCAGTTTATGGTAAAGAGGCTGTCTGGAAACTCTTTAAGCTCACAATATCTAAATAATACTCAAATAATTTAAAAAGGTTAAAGAAAGTTTCAATTTGTAAGGTTTCCAAAATTAAGAAGAAAATTAAAAAAATTAGAATTAGAATTGTAAAAGTAACTCTAAGGAACTTTTCCTCCCCTGAATAATGTTAGTCTGTACCTGTGTTGGCAAGAGTGTGATTTCTTAATCTGGTTTCCTTAACTAGTATTCTAGGAGTTTAAATTTCAATTCCTAAACTTTCTCATGAGTATTTTTTGTCAAATTATACTTCTGCTTAGATCTTAAGCAGACCCTTGCCTTCTCCTCTCCCTGCCGTTCTCCACACTCTGGTCTCCCCGACCCCACCAAAATTCCCCTCCATTGCCCTAAAACTCTGGAATATTTCAATGAGGAAATACCCAATGGAAACTGGCACCACTAAATTTTCTGAAAAATATAAGTGTATGTGTACTTCTTTCTTTTCCTAAAGGGAAAGAAATTGCCTGCAAATATTTAAGCTCTAATCATTTGATTAAAATTTTCCTGCCTGTAATTATCAATATTATAAGACTAATTAAATCCATGCTACATATACAGTTACTTGCCTTTATGTGAAAGGAAAAACCCACTCGGTCATATCATCAAAGAGAACTATTTGTACTAGATACAGTTTAAATTGGTTAAAAACTGGTCAGAGTCTGAATGAAACAAAATTAAGTGTCTTTAGGAGGCTACTAAGTTATCCTTGAAAAATCATTAATGACTGGTTAAGCCACAGGTTTAATAGTGATTAGTTCATAACATGCTGGATACACCCCAAGCAATGTAGTTTAAGCTATTCAATTACATTTAAGTGCTATCAAATCTGTAACTAGTCAGAGATTCTGGAATTGAACCAAACCAATCACTAATATCATATTTTAACAAACTCAGAAGTATACTGTAAAAATACACTAAATCAGTCCATGAGGTTTCATAATGCTATTAAAAATGAAAATAAGGTAGTATGGATACATGGTACTAATGTCTTATTTCTTTCAGTAATTCTCATGGTATTGCTGGGTCCCTTAGAAATATGTATCATTTAATTTTGTGTATGGTTAAGGTATTAGATTGCTATCTACAAGCTGTAAACACCTGCATGGCACCAAATATACTTTCAGAAGTAGATGTTATGTGGCAGGTACCAAAATGTGATGATCAATTCTCTACTGATTAAACCTCCTCATCTGGTTAAACAGCCAGTGTATACCAGAGTTCTACACAGGTCAAAGTTATATCACTTTCAGAGCAGCAATACGTGATCCAAGGTTTTCTTGAAGGTAGTGCAAAAGATGCAGTTCATAATGTTCTCCAGATTCAGGAACTCTTATGCTGTGTCTCTCCTGAGGATAGATCTTAAAAACAACAACAACAAAATCAAAATACACAAAATAAGAATTTAGGAATACATCTCCTTCCAAAGCTTTCCAGAGATTTTCAACAGAATTAATAACATGGAGCAGAGCTTCTCCAAGATACTATACACATACATCCCATCTAAAGGGCCTTCTCTTTTTATAATTCCCTATGTACCACTAAGCTTACAGAAGGATCAGTGGTTCTCCAAGTGTGGTTTGCAGACTTCCGCAGCCCTCAGAACTCTTTCCAGGGATACACAAGGTCATATTTATTTTCAGATCAAAACTAAGACATTACTTGCCTTCATTCACTGTGTTGGCATTTGCAGTGATAATGAAAGGCAATGGTGGGTAAAAGTGCTGGTGCCTTAGCATGAATCAAGGCAGTGACATACACTTGTAGTAAACAAGAAAAAATGCCAGTTTCCCTTAAGTAGTAGTAAAAATTAGAATTTTATTAAGTTGCAACCCTTAAGCAGAGGTCTTTTTATATTCTGTGGTGATAAGATGGGAAGAAGGCATAAAGCACTTCTGCTACACGATGTCTCAAGGAAAAGGACTTGCACAACTGAGTTTTGTTTTGTTTTTTCTTTTGGCCCCACCACACAGCATGTGGGATCTTAGTTCCCTGACCAGGTATCGAACCCGCGCCCCCTGCAGTGGAAGAATGGAGTCTTAACCACTAGATAGCCAGGGAAGTCCCTACAACTGAGTTTTTAAATGGAACTCCATTTTTTACTTGAAAGACTGACAACTATGGTGATTCAGACTTGGCTATCTGGCAAACATTTTCTAAAAATGATGTGAGCCGGTCACTTCAAGGACAGCATTGACAGTATTTGTTACCAATGATAAATTTTGAGCTTTTAAATGAAAATTAGAATTTTGGAAAACTTGCATCTACCACTCCTAGCTCATGAGCTTCTCAATACTTGGAGAATTTTCTGTTGAGATCAGTGGTAATATCAATGTATATGATTTAAAAAATATTGTGTGATTAAGTGGATCAACACTTAGAAGTGAACCAATATTTTCCAGATGACCAATGCATGGGTAAAAGATCCATTTGAAGTACAAGATCCAACAGATTGTAATGTAGCAGAGCATGAAAAGTTTACAGATATGGTTTCAGATTCCACACTAAGACTAACCTTTAAGAAACTACCATTTGTTCAGTTTTGGTGTAGCAACAAAGAAGAATATCCATGATTATCTGAAAAAGCTAAAATATTACTCCCATTTCTTTTTCTCGGCAGTACGGGGGCCTCTCACTGCTGTGGCCTCTCCCGTTGCGGAGCACAGGCTCCAGACGCGCAGGCCCAGAGGCCATGGCTCACGGGCCCAGCCGCTCCGCGGCATGTGGGATCTTCCCGGACCGGGGCACGAACCCGTGTCCCCTGCATCGGCAGGCGGACTCTCAACCACTGCGCCACCAGGGAGGCCCCTACTCCCATTTCTTAATTACAAATTTTGTGAGGCCAAAATTTCTTCATTTACTTTAGCCAAAACAACATTTCACAACAGATTGTATGTGGAAGTAGATACGAGAATCTAGATGTATTTCTTATTAAGCCAGAGATTAAAGGGATTTAGAAAAATGTAAAACAGTGCTAACTTTCTCAGTAAGTTGTTTTGTTTTGAAAAATTTTCTCCTCCATTAAAAATGTGATCTGTGTTAACATGTAATAGTTTATTATTGTTAATTTTAAATGAATATTTTAAAATTTTCTTAGTCTTAATATCTTATATGAGAAATACTTATAGACATAATTCACATAAACAAAAGCTTTCTGGTATATAAAAGGGTCCTGAGACCAAAACGCTTGAAAACTGCTGCTATAGACAAATATCTCATAGTTTACCTACATAAATGTCAACTGAAACACAAAAAAGGGAAAAGTAATATTTTTCATTTCTTTTTTTTTCTTTCTTTTTTTTTTTTTTTTTTGGGGTCCGCGGGCCTCTCACTGTTGTGGCCTCTCCCGCTGCGGAGCACAGGCTCCGGACGCGCAGGCCCAGCGGCCATGGCTCACGGGCCCAGCCGCTCCGCGGCATGCGGGATCCTCCCAGACCGGGGCACGAACCCGTGTCCCCTGCATCGGCAGGCGGACTCTCAACCTCTGCGCCACCAGGGAGGCCCTATTTTTCATTTCTTATGAGAAGAATCTGTGTAAGGAGTAGAAACGAGGAGGAAAGGAGGAAAAATTTCTCTTAAAAGCTTTTTTTTGAGTAATGGAGCAATGGAGGTAAGTAACTTGTTGGTTTCTGCTCCAATGTCAATATAAAATAAAAGAAAATTAAAAGACCTTGTAATCAGGTCCTAAAAATCCTTTATAACAATGAAATCAAGTAGCATTTCTTTACCCTTCCAAGAGGAAGAAGAAAAGCAAAGGAGGATAGTGAATGGACTCCTGTCATCTTGTCCATGGTTACAAACTGAAAGCAGATACAGATACACAAGTCATGTGAAATCTGATAGGACAATTTTCATCCTGACTTCCACAGGATCTTAATTTTTATCTAACTAGAGGCACTACTAACTATGCCTATTATTTTAACCCTCTTAAGCAGAGAGTGGCCACAGCTGAAAATTCAACTTTACTCCATACTTTATTATATTTCAAAGTAACCAATTACTAATCATGGCTATTTTAATCAGAAAATGTAAAAGAACTCACCTGTAAATCATATGGCTTTCCAGCCCTCACTAAAAAACTCAGTAATATACTGGTGTGTGCAAAATGGACATTCTCATCCAAGAACCCATGTAAGAGTAGTAAACGATTTGGTCTGGAAAAATGGAAATATCAGAGGATTAGGCAAAATATAAGAGTATTTGGGAAAACCACTTAACTCCTTAAAACTAATCACAACTAACTACGTTAACTTCCTTATACTGTAATATTAGAATAAGGATTCAACATTTTGGGACTTCCCTGTTGGTGCAGTGGTTAGGAATCTGCCTGCCAATGCAGGCGACACGGGTTTGAGCCCTGGTACGGGAAGATCCCACATGCCATGCAGCAACTAAGCCCGTGTGCCACAACTACTGAGCCTGCGCTCTAGAGCCCGCAACCGCAACTACTGAGCCCACGTGCCACAACTACTGAAGCCCACACGCCTACAGCCCATGCTCCGCAACAAGAGAAGCCACCGCAATAAGAAGCCCGCGCACCGCAACGAAGAGTAGCCCCCGCTCTGTACAACTAGAGAAAGCCCGCGCACATCAACGAAGACCCAAGGCAGCCAAAATAAATAAATAAATAAATTAATTAAAAAAAGGAGTCAGCATTTCAATATTAAATTAGTAATATATTAACCAGATGCTACATGTAAAGAAAAAAAAATTTTAATTAAATCGTGTTCTATTTCCTATTAAGATATTAGCATACATCAATAATTATAGCATGTCCCTAGAAAAAGAAAAATCATATGTTACTTGCAAAATATATGTAAGCAGAAATGGAATTTTTTCCTTGAAACAGTTGTGTACTTAATTAAGCTTCTTTTATCACTTAAGCAACTGCTTCAAATATGACTTGTAAAAAAACCCAAATTATATGAACTGGCCTATAATTAAGCTTTGACAAACAGCTATGTCTTCTAGTACTCTATAAAATATTAGCTTTGGTTTTGTCATGTTTATAGTTTTCCTTATTATTATAGACAATTTTTAAAGATACAATTTTAAATTTATAATTTTAATTTTAAAGCTTAAGCTTACTCAGAGGGGAATTTTTCTGCTTGCATGGCCACAGATCCTAAGTAATAGCCCTGTTCATTCTGGTCAGGGTGACCCATATAACGTTCCGTGTAGCCTGTATCATAGAAGATCCACAGAGTGACTGGGGCCCCAGCAATAGCAACCTGCATAAGATAACAGTGACAGTCAAGTGTGGTCCAGAAAAGAATGGCTAGCACTGAGAGTCTGTAACTGCAAATTTACAGGCTAAAATTATCCTTAGGCTTTAGCCCCATGACTGGAGCATACATGGTCTCAGGCAACTCAGAAAATCAAAGGGGAATGCGAAGGTCAAGAATTTGATACTTTGTGAGTCAGTTAGCTTCATGTTCCACAGATGTGCCACACACCAAATCCTTAACCTGGGCTAGATGAAATATAAACATGGGCCTCTGTTAAAAGGGGAGGCTGAACTAGAACATATGAATGCCTCAGTGTAAATTAATTCCTGCTCCTGGGGAAAAAAATATGGGACAAGTGTCAGCTTTATATAGGAAAAAGCAGTCTTTTTTTTTTTTTTTTTTTTTAAGCTTCTGTTGGCAGTATAAAATTTAAAACAATGAATGAAATATATTTAAGCACTAAATACTTGCCTCATTTTAAGTCTCCCACACAGTTTTATATTTAAATATTGATTTAAATACTGTAATTACTTTCTTAACAGCTGCAAGCCTGGGAAAATTATGGCAGTATTCAGAGTTCATTTTGTGGTTATTATAAATAAAGATTATCTGAATATACATGTAAGAACAAAAACCCTATAGTTTTTATTCTTAAAAAATAAAAAATGTTCACTGTAAAATAAAATGTTATTGAAATATTAAAAAAGAAAAATGCCACTCATAATTCCCATTCCCTTAACAACTGTTAGCATCATTTTATATTTTCTTGTAACATATTTTTCTAAGAAGTTGTTTATAGAATAGTAATCATTGTTTATGTATTTCATAGTTTATTCATTCAGTACAGATTTACTTAGGACCGAGTATGTGCCAAGCATTGTGCTTGGCGGCTGAGGACACAGCATAGGGCAGATAGATCCCTGCCCTCAGAGGTTGTAGTCCAACAATTACACAAATAAGAACAACCCAATATGAATGTGTGTTTTACTATCATGACTATCTCCCATAATCTTTGGCATATGTCTATAAATAGACAGTAACTGATCAAGTTGACAATTATTTTATATAGATAAATGTAGATAAAGATACATAAACATATCTCACGAGTTGACAAGATATATCTATTATTTCACACGGCTATTAAACACACAAACCCTAACATTTCACAGTACTGTCAACTTTGTAAACCTTCAGAAAATTGGCATTTCCTCATATCTCAATTTATAGAAAATTCTACCCTTATTGCAAAAAGAAGTACCATAGGAAATCACATACCCTGAATATATCTGACCTCTGCATTAATGCCATCAGGGAAAGGTATCCTCCATAGGACCAGCCATGGATGCCCACACGATCTAAGTCAATGAAATCATATTGAGAGGCTAGATATTGGAGTCCTTCCACCTGATCGTCAATTTCTATTTGACCCTGTAAAAAAGGGAGAGCATTTCACTGACTCTGATAAATAAAAATCTTATTATAAGAGTGCTTTTAAAGCTGATAGATGTTCTTACTAAAAATACCTGTAGTTTTTTTAGATAAGAACTCATTATCAATGGAAATTCTGTTGCTTGAAAAAAATTTTTTTAACTCTAGAGATAGGAGCCTATAGCTTCTGTTGCTAGCCTGTCCTAGAGTTTAGTTACCCCTTAGTCATAAAGTTCTTTCCTACTGTGACCCAAAATGTCCCTTGCTGTATGGGTATTTCCCATTTCCATTTGTTCTGTTGTCTGCTAAGAGGTCAGCATCTTCCTTGTAACAAGCCTTCCTATACCCAAAGATAAAAAATTAGCCCCCTTAAGTGGTTGACTAATATTACCTCTCCTTTTTAAAACTTAATGCAGTAAAGCAGAAGGAATCACTCTTGACGCATTATCCTATTTCCCTATCACCTACCTCTAGGAACTGAACATACAATTTCTTTAAAGTCCTGTTTAGTCCTAATTCCTATCGCCACCACCCTGTCTGTATTACTAGGCCTGCCAGTGCACACAATCTAACTTCACTGAGCCAAAAACAAAAATAAAAACAAAAACTTACATGAGAATACAACATAAGGTCAAAGAACTGGCTGTGGGAGAAAATCCCCATGTCTTACTCAGCATGTCCAATACACTGGCAAACACAGTAACTGCCTTACTGTGCAAAAGGAACATCGGATTCTCATCATTTCCCAAAGCAGCAGAAAGGACATGGGGCATCTCTAAAAGGTAGCATTTAAAGCTTCCTGTAGAGAGAAAGAGGCTTGTCACAAGGAAGGCACTAACCAGTTGGTTTCTCTCTTCACAGAGGACAGAACAAATCTCAATTATTCCTAATAGTGTACAGGATGCTGAAAACTAAATGGACTGGCTTCTGGCTAAACTGAACATAAAAAAATAGAAAGAGAGGGGGTTTCTATATAAAAGTGGTTCTATCTCAGCTCCCCAAATTTACATATAGGTAGACATGAATAACCTAGTGAATATCAAGTTGTACTTTCCCTCCCACCCCCAAACCATAACACATGCTCACATGCACACACGTGCACACACACTCACAGTGCCTTCCCCCAACTCCTTCTCTGGGATTTCACACTAAACAATGCACCAAAAATTGTAAATGTCTTTAAAAGAAAAATGTTTGTATGCTCACACACCATTTTATATTTAAAGGCGCCTTCAAATTTAAGCCCTCGGTGACAGGATCCCCTGTTGTCTATCACTACAACCACGTAACCCAGAGAGGCTAGGGTATTCAATCGGAAATACTTGATTCCTTTAAACCGATTATTCACCAACTGCACCTGAGGAAGAAATACAACTTCAGTGAAATTTATTATATGGCAGCATACAAAAGCATAAGAGAGGCAGGATGCTGCAAAAAATAGCTTATTAAATTTTTAACATTATTTTGCCAATAAAATGAAATTATTTTCTTGTGGCAAGAACACAACATGAAATGGACCCTCTTAAAATTTTAAGTGTACAATACAGTATTGTTAACCATAGGACAATGTTGGACAGCATATCTCTAGAATTTATTCATCTTGCATAATTAAGAATTTTTTATGCCCATTGATTAGCAATTCCCCTCCTCCCCCTCTCCCTGATTTACTTTTATTTTTAAAATTAACTTATTTATTTTTGGCTGTGTTGGGTCTTCGTTGCTGTGCCTGGGCTTTCTCTAGTTGCGGCGAGCGGGGGCTACTCTTAGTCGTGGTATGCGGGCTTCTCACTGCAGTGGCTTCTCTTGTTGCAAAGCACGGGCTCTAGGCGTGTGGGCTTCACTAGTTGTGGCACGCGGGCTCAGTAGCTGTGGCTTGTGGGCTCTAAAGCGCAGGCTCAGTAGTTGTGGCACATGGGCTTAGGTGCTCCACAGCATGTGGGATCTTCCTGGACCAGGACTTGAACCCATGTCCCCTGCATTGGCAGGCGGATTCTTAACCACTGCACCACCAGGGAAGTCCCCTTATTTACTTTTAAATTAAATCTTTTCATGTTCATGTTACTTCTTTTCTTTCTTAACTTCACACTCAAAGTTCTGAGGAATTACTGAGTAACTACAGACTTTAAAATTATAACCTAGATATTAACTACACACAAGATAAGTGATTTAACCTACCCCATAGAAAAAATTACTAAAATGATTATTTCTACCCTGAGGAAGAATTGTATCATTCAAATGACAGAATAAGATCATTTTTTCTCCCTACCTGTCTCTTCTGGGATTGTTTCTGACCAGTAGAGGGGAAACTGAAGTATTTTAATGAATTACTATGACCAGTCAGCTTCTTTTTTCCTGCTACACAAATCAGTGCAAAAGGTAAGATAATTCTTAAATATCTTTATTGCCCTAGAAACTATACTTCAAAATGACTGAGAAATTAAATGTAGTTTGGTGCTTCACCAGAAATATACTCTCTGGTGAAAAGAAGACTTTAATTAATGGGCAGAAAGTTACAGAAGTTCAAGGTTTGGTGGATACTAAGGTAGATAATAAACAAACAAAAAAAGGGTTCTGGCAAAATTGAGGACGTGTTCTCTGGCTGAAACCAATGGGAAAACCAAGCCAGCCAGGAGTTAAAATAAACATCGATGCTGTCTTCACTCAATAAATACTTACTGAGCATTGAATGGGCTAGACTGGCGGTGGCGGTATAAAGAAACTTCTTTTGAACTTTCGGATGTTTAGCAACACTGCAACAACTGTCAAACTGGTCTTTCTGTTTCTATACTTGTCCTCCGTATAGTCTGTTCTCACAGCAACAGGATGATGTTTAAAAATGTAAATCAGGTATGACTTTATAGCTTAGCTCCTCCTAATGGCAGGTGGTTTAGATCAGAGTAAGATCTAAACTCCTTACCACTGTCTTTGAGACACTACATTATCTAGCTCTTGGTTATTTCTGTGACCTCATCTCATACCATTTCCCCCCTTGAGCACTGTACTCTATCTAACCTTACTACCAACTATATCAAGTTGGTTCTAACCCCAGGACATTGACATTTACTGTTCCCTCTGTCTACTATGCTCTGCCCTCAGATCTTTAACATGGCTCATTCCTTCTCATCCTCTGCAACCTCAGAGAGCTTCCCTGACCTTCCAGTCAGAACCCTCATTTTAGTCACTTTGCCATCCTCTTTCCCAACAATTATTCATAACACTTCCATTATATGAAGTTATATAATTTATATGTCTGCTGTTTATTATTCTCCTCATTAATCTCCATGAGGGTGGGACATTAGTCTGACTTGTTAACTGTGGTATCCTCACTGCCTAGAATAGTACCTGGTACATAATAGGAACTCAATAACTATTTGCTGAATGAATGAAAAACAGAGACAGGAGAGTGATGTTTTCCCTTTCTACCTTGGGAGGAGGGGTTTGGTGGGCAAAGGTGCTTGTTTTTAAAGGGAGGGAGCTGAAAAAAGAAGTATTAGGCAAGGAACACATATATGAACATATAAGAAAACTAACTCACTTCTTTGCCTGCTGTCAATCACAGAAGATGGCCTCAATTGCCTGATACAACATTCTCCCCCAGAGCCAGCGTTTCTGCCTTTGCAGCCTCCAGGCCTGCTTCTTCTTAGCAGGAGGTACTTAAACATAATGCCCTTTAGCACTAAGAATTCAGAAGTTTTCTTCAGTATCAATTCTTCAAAACCTGTGTTCTGCTATTTTAACTTGCTCTCTTGTGCATTTATGTTTGCAGAACAGTGTCTGGCACATAGGAAGTATCATAAATATTTGTTAAATAAACATTTTTAAACACACTACTGTTATCAATGAAAAGTTTAAAGAACTAAGCCTTGATGACTTTAATGGGAAATATTTGTTGCTTTCCTTGGTTTCACTTTTGTCCGACTACAGACGTTGGTGCATTTAGCGATGGAGTAATTCACCTCATGTTATGAATTGTGGCACTGCTGTTATTCAAAAGATTCCCACTTTGGGGGCTTCCCTGGTGGCGCAGTGGTTGGGAGTCCGCCTGCCGATGCAGGGGACACGGGTTCGTGCCCGGTCCAGGAGGATCCCGCATGCCACGGAGCGGCTGGGCCCGTGGCCATGGCCGCTGGGCCTGTGCGTCTGGAGTCTGCGCTCTGTGACAGGAGAGGCCACAACGGTGAGAGGCCCGCGTACCGCAAAAAAAAAAAAAAAAAAAAAAAATTCCCACTTTA